ACACCAACATGGCCCCAGTGAAGTTATTCGCCCTCCGTGCAACACCGGGGAACTGCCAGCACGTGGTCCGCTGCAGATCACGGCGTCTCCGCCTCGCCTCAATGTCCACAGATGGGATGCCAAACACAATGAGGTAGTCACGCTCCCTCCATGTCTGTATGGTGCTGTGTGGGATGTAGCGCAGAGACTCATTGTTAGCTGTGGCATCTGGGCTATGCGGCTTTACGGCGGCAGTGACGTTCAACGATGTATCGAAGGGAGAATCACCCCTTGGAAACACTGCATCGACATCGAAGTGGCTGTGCCAGACGAATGAGTACAGAATGATAACCAGGAGAAACAGAGAAATAGAAATATTTCTTTGCTGACTGTGGTGCGTCATAATTCTTCTGTGTGTCTACAGCTGAATACAGGAAAGAAAATGAGGAGAGGAGTGTGTTCTGCAGCATACAGTGTGAGGGGGTGGTTGGTTCAGCAGAGTGCAGATGTCTGATGGCTCCCTGCGGTGACAGACTGCGTGAGGAGGAGTGTTATCCATGGAGCCCAGTAGTCCATCGGACGGCAAAGCCATTGCTGTGGTGTACGCAGTGTATGTGTGCCGAGGGGGAATAAGAGGGAACCACAAACACAGAGAAATACCTCTCACGCAAAGGACAGACAGATACATTTGCAGCAAGCATTAAAGGCATCATTCACACATTAGGGTTAGCATTCAAACTCCAATCGTCCAAATCGAACGTTGTAAGCCTTTGCAGGAGGATTTGTATATTTCTGAAATCGCTTCAACAACTTCTTATAGTCGCTCTCATCTGCACGGTGCATTACAACAGAACTCCAAGTCACACGTCGTCTGTGGTGTCCTCGATGAAGGTCATGAAACCGACAACGTTTCTCCTTTACAAAGGTAATGTTGATTCGAAGTATTTTGTGCAGCACATACCCCACCATCATGTCTTCGTGATGCATATACAACGACAGAAACTTCGCCTCCTCCTCTTTGCTGTACGGCGTGTATACCAAGCGCTGCAGAGGTGTGTACGACACGAACTGCTC